GTCACCGATTTCCCTATTCGATTTCCCTCACTGATTTCCCTCAGTCTAATTTATTTACCTTTGCTGGGCACAATGAGAACCTGTCAGGTAGAAATGTCAAAACAGTGAAGGACAGATTTTGGCATGTTTGTTTTATTTTTTTAATATTAAAAAAATTAAATAACTAATCATTATTAATGGTGTTTGCAAATAAAATAGTATACAAACCTCGCAGGAAAGTTTTCATTTCTGTTTCGAGATTAATAGTCAATCTCGACGCTTCGCGTCTCGATTGACTATATAAATCTCTTGACAGTAATGAAACACTTCCCTACTCGGTATGTAATATACTAAATCAAATCAAATCAAAAAATGCTTTATTGTACAAAAAGGCCTTAAGACCCTTATTTACAAAGCTAAAATGGAAGTAATACAAAAATAATACAAAAACATTATAAGGAGACACTGAAAAGTAATGTTACATGTTAAAATACTAAGAACTAATAAAGACAATCAAGATAAAAACATTAAAAACCACCAAAAACTGCTACTTAAAATGTCATTCACAAATCCAGTCAAGTCCTTATATTATTATATGGCACATACAAATAAAAAAGCGAACAAACAAAAATAAAGACTGAAACATTTTTTTAATTGCAGTATAGACATCATAATTCATAAAATCATTAAAGCTAGAGCCTATCGTCATAAAATTCTTCCAGAGAATAATATGCTTTTGAAAGCAGAAGCTGTTTCACCTTTTTCCAGTAAAAAAAATGAAGCAAAGAAACAAACCAACACACAATTGGATCACAGCTGGTATAAAGATATCTAGTAAAAATAAAAGAAGACTATTTCAAAATGTTAGAATTGGGGTAACAACTGTGGAGCACTACAAAAAATACTCAAATATACTCAAACAGGTAATAAAACAAGCAAAGAAGCTCAGCAACAAAAACTTTATACAAAATGCTGAAAACAAACAGCAGGCAACCTGGAGCTTAATTAAAAAAATAACTGCCACAAAAACAATAAAAAAAGACTCAATTCTAAACCACTTTGAATATGAGAATGAGACTGAGTTCCTGAATGATGTGAATAACTTTTTTGTAAACATATGCCCTGATGTGATGTCAGAGAGCAGTAGTAGCCAGGCTGATAAATCTGACACTGGGTATAAAAAGAATCTTGAACTCCGACCCTTGACAGCTCTAGAAACCTTGAAAATCATAAAAGATCTAAAAAATAAAAAATCTACCGGATATGATGAGATCCCTGTTAGCATTATAAAAGCTTGCGCAAATTCACTTGCAGAGCCATTAACATACTTGATAAATCTATCGATGCAAAATGGCATCTTTCCTGCCAATCTTAAAATTGCACTGCTAAAACCAATCCACAAAAAGGGTACTCTAACTGATCTAAAAAACTACAGACCAATTTCCTTGTTATTCAACTTTAGTAAAATCTTTGAAAGATCAATTTATATAAGATTATTAAACTTTTTAGAAGAAAATGTCTTGTTGAGTGAAAAACAGAATGGTTTTCGAAGGAAAAGATCCACTATAAGAGCTATCTACACAGCACTAAATCGAATTTTGGAATCACGAAACAAGAACAATGTCACCATGGCCGTCTGTTTGGACCTCTCAAAAGCTTTCGACAGTGTAGACCACGGCCTGCTCTGTCGACAGCTTGAGAGGATCGGAGTACGAGACACACCTCTGAGACTGTTCAAGTCATATTTAAATCATAGAAAACAGGGTGTCTTGGCAGAAAATAGCCTAGGGGAGGTAAAAAAATCGAACTTTGCCTACATAAAAAGGGGCGTACCCCAGGGCTCAATACTGAGCCCACTGCTTTACTTAATATATACAAATGATGTTGCAAATGTACTAGAAAATGAGGTGGTACTCTTTGCCGATGATACTTCTGTGCTCTGTTGTAACAAAACCAAAAACGAATGTGTCACTAATGTCCGTGAATCACTTGAAGGTCTTCAGAATTGGTTTACAAACAACAATCTTCAACTTAATGTGGCAAAAACACAAATTATAAACTTCAATCTAAAACCTGAAGAAATAATGATTGACTACAATGACACTACAATTGCTACAAAGGGAAATGTTACCTTTCTTGGAGTGGTGCTAGATGAGAGGATGGACTGGCGTGCACATATTGACCAGCTTGCAACAAGCATGAGTAAATACTGTTACGCCCTAAGGGTTCTTAGAGACTCAGCAGGCTGCTCGACAGCGCTAACAGCTTGCCAAGCTTACATCCAATCAAGGGTGAGATATGGTGTCATTTTTTGGGGTAGTGTCTCGGAGTCGCAAAGAATTCTGAAGCTTCAGAAAAGGTGCTTAAGGACAATTTATCAAAGAAAAAGTACGGAAAGTTGTAAAAATCTTTTTATTGAGAGTAGTGTGCAAACAATTTTTAATATCTACATCTTAGAGTGCATAAAATTTGTTTCAGAAAACCCAGATATTTTTGACCAATTAAAAGCAGACCACCCCCATGATACTAGGTTTAAAGAAAACTGAAAAACAGAAACCGCTCAGTACTCATACATTGCAAAGAACGTTAAGCATAGCATTCTGAGGGTCTGGAATGCTATTCCCATTTCATTTCGAAGGCAACCGCCACAGAATATCAAAAGAGAAATTAAAACATTCCCAAACTCAAAAGCTTACTACAGTCTGGATGAGTTTTTCACTGATCCACAAATTGACAACTTGGTAAAGTAAAGTTTCTTAATATCAAAACACACAAGCAATCATTACCAAACTAACACAGACAAATGGCATTCGAGGGCTCAGGACAACTGAAAATTGCAAGAGCAATATTTGATTTATGTGTTCCTTATTGTATTATGTAAATTTTAAAGATTTTTGTGACTATTTATATTTTGTGTTTGTATGTTTGAAATTATTATTGTTATATGTAGTAGTATATGTAATAATCTTATTTATTTATGACATGATCAACACCCTAGAGGTAAAAATGTAGAAAACTTGTGATACGCAGTATACTGTGAATTGTATTTGTCTTTTTTACATGATCGAATAAAGAATCTATCTATCTATCTAGCAAAAAGGACACTATTGTCTAGATATTTGATCTCAAGAGGCAGGTGGTTATACATCTTTTTCCCCTCATATATTATTGAGTTTTTTGTTAATGTACTCCTTGGGATGCACAGACTCAGATTGTTGCTGTTGAACTTAGTTGTCCTGGTGTCATTATTATTATCTGATCCTCTATATTTTTTTGTGAACCATGCCCACCGTCAATAAAATAAAAATACAGGTCAATGTAAGAATTCCCTCCCGGATAAACAGAGGCCGGCAGTGTTCCCTAGAGCCGACTACATACAATAGACGAACAGCCCGTTTTTGTAAAACAAAAACTGCATTAAGTAGTTGACCACTGGCAAAACCCCAAAATTCAATGACATATCTGAGTCGTGACTCAACAAGTGCAAAGTACACACCCCTTGCAATGTCATGACCCAATTCATTACGAACCGTCCTTAACGCATAACACGCTGGAGCTAGTTTTTTTCGCAGGTCATTGATATGTTCACCAAATTTCAACTTAGAGTCTATAGATAAGCCCAAGAACCTGGAACACTCCCTATTAGCAAGTGCCTTATCATTTAAACTTATATTTGCCACAGGAGAGTAAATTTGTTTTTGATATGTTAAAAGATAGTTTATTGGAGTCACACCACTGCTTTACCTTGCGAATATCTTGCCCGATCCTATCCTCCAAGGTGACTACTATTACACGGTTGACGGCAAATGGGTTGCATTAGGATCAAAATTACCCCTGTGCTGCTGTGGGACTGAAACTAGTAATCTCGCGACATTTTTCACTTCAAGGTTGATCTCAGTGACCTTTTTTTGTATGAAAATGACACCAAACTTGGCACAATTAAGATAATTTATATTAATTTTTTTATTTATTTTTATTTAAAGGCCACCATTTTGAACCTACATGGTCGTTATCCTTCGAGTGAAATCAATTTTTGAAGTTCTGCACTAGACCTGCAGAGCGGCATGCTTTCTGCAAGAAAAGTTACTTTTTTCTGCGTACCGCTTGTACTATTAAGTCATCCTTGACAGAAGTTTCACTGTATATCAAAGTTACCTTAATTCAAGGTGGATTTTGAGCCACCTGAATGAACTGATTTCAAGTTCAAGTACCCTTAACGTTAAGGGTACCTTAGGTAAGTCTTCAGTTTAAGATAACATCGAAATACCGTCTCTTACGTCCTGAGAACTAAGGTACCAAAATCTACTTTACCCTCCCTCCAGCAGAATGGGGTGAACCCAAACTTTCGCAAAAAAATCGCCTACTTGTTTTACCCTGTATCTTTTAGCAAGTGGATGGAAATCTGTTATCAACTGGTACAGTCTTTTACTCCTAAAAATTTGAACAAAATCGCCTTGCTAGATTTTGAGTTATAGTTTCACAAAAAGTGACCAAAAATAGGGGTATTCAAGTTGGATTTTCGATTAATGCGTAGTTTATCTGAATTTATGTAATTTGAACTTTCTTAGGATGAAGATAAGGTTTGAATCAAATAATTCCATCATGTAAAATAAACTACAAACTATATAAGCAACCTGAGGAATACCTATGCTATCGCGTAAAAATAGTCAGAAAAAATTTCTTGATAGGTTTTGAATTGTCTGAGAACCTGTTCTTAATTTAACCCGCCTGTTGACTAAAAAAATACTACTTACTATTGAGGACTTGCTAGATTATATCATTATTGTCTTTAATCAGAATTCTTTTCGCAATCCACCAAACTCATCCTCATTTTGTATTTTTTTTTATGCACTCTTCCTGACAACTGAGCAAACCAGTCCTTGTTCAGGATAATGAAGAGCATGTGCCACAACTTTTAATTAATTTTCCAAGCTTAAAGAAAAAAACAAAAAAAAAGTTAGTCATAAGAACTTCTGACAAAACTAAAACCCATTATTAACAAAATCTTTTTATTTTTTTAGTCCATTATTTGTGACCTGGAAAATAGGAAAAGATAAACGTTTGCGCGGGTGCATCGGAACTTTTAACGCAATGAACCTGCAATCTGGTCTGCGAGAGTATGCCATCACTAGTGCATTTAAAGACTCGCGTTTTAGTCCAATAACTCGTGACGAATTTTCTAAACTCAGTGTTTCCGTGTCGATTTTGAGACATTTCGAGGACGGCGACGACTACTTGGACTGGGAAGTGGGTATCCATGGAATCCGAATCGAGTTTGTTAACGAAAAAGGAAATAAGAGGACTGCCACTTATTTGCCAGAAGTTGCTTCGGAACAAGGTAAGATTTTTATTTGATTTTTGGATGTTTATTTAATTTGAAGTTTTTGTTGTTAAGGTTGGGACCAGTTGCAGACTATAGATTCTCTTCTACGTAAAGGGGGTTTTAAGTCTTCAATTTCAGGCGAGGTGAGACGCACCATTAAACTGACACGTTACCAGAGTGAAAAAATCACCGTCGGTTATCAAGACTATATGAACTATTGGAATAGCCAACGGTGCTAGCAACTAGTTTGGGGGCGTCCGGCTCCTCAAGCGCCGCCCCCACAATTGCAAACATCACCGTTCTCTCACCATCAACCGCCACCGTCGTACCTCCACCAAACCACAATGCCGCCTCCACCGCCACCCACGTTCGTTGTCGTTCAGCCGCCCCTTTCGCCGTTCGGTTCCACGGTCGCCCACCAGTACGTACTACCTGCCCCCGTGCCTCTGTGGTGGCACGATCAGTACGTGACGCCAGGCGGCGGGGCCAATTCCTGCCATACACGTTTAAATTACGGACCTCCGGTCGTCGGAAACGGTTTGGCGATGACCGAGTCGCCATTTTACGAAAACGGCGGCGGCGGAGGTTCGATTTTTCCTAGACACAAGTGACCCATGCGGTGCCTTATGAGGTTATGTTACTGTTCAAAGTTATAGCAGGCCCTCATCTTACAATCTGCTTGGCTTGGTTTTATTGTTGTTGTAGTTTTAGCTGTTTCTGTTTGAGTTGAGGGCGTTTATATTTTTTTGACGTTTTCAAATTCACCTGACAGATAAACATGATCAAACTTCATCAGACTTCATCCTCATCTGTAGATTGATCCAAGAGCACTTCAAGTAGATCTTAATTAATTGTAGTCTGGTAATAGTTACAAATTACAAGTGCGGTCATGAACATGATTACAATATCGAGTGTGAAAGAGTAGAATAACGAGGTCGTAGACCGAGTCTTTCTAATCACACGAGTTTTGTAGTCATTTTTACCTACGAGCGTGCGGTAAAGTGAACTTTACCGCACCCTTTTGCGAATGGAAAGTAGCACTTTACCGCACACTATGCGGTGAAGTTACCATTTGAAGTTTCTTCGACTAGTTCTTGATTATGCTCCTGATTTTCTGGACTGGTAGGCGTCACAACTCGTTATTATTTATGTTGAAATCAGCTTATGAACTTGACTACCATTTTTTCTTTGGCGTCCGATGTTCGTAAGAATACTGACATTTTTGTTTGGTCATCAACTTTTGTTATTGTTGCACCTTCCCATTGTCTGTTGGGAAGTTTTACTCTACTGGAAAGTACCACTTTACCGCACACTATACGGTAAAGTTACCATTTGAAGTTTCTTCGACTAGTGATTGATTATGCTCCTGATTTTCTGGACTGGTAGGCGTCACAACTCGTTATTATTTATGTTGAAATCAGCTTTTGTTTTATGAACTTGACTACCATTTCTTCTTCTTTCCCTCAATCTTTTCAATTCATTTGTGACATCTTTTACAATATTTGGTTTCAACTTTCCACTGTTTACTGGAAGTAATGTCCTGGTAATTCTGCTAGAAATTCTTTGATTAGGTGAGCCCAGTGACGGGTTTTTAGGTGTATTTCTTTAGTTGAGTAGAGCAATCTGTATATCTGGTTTGTCGTCTGTACATTCTTTTAACAGATTTTTCGCAATTTGAATATTTCTTTTCTATTAAAAAATTGCTTCTTGGATGCTATGGACTACTGAAATTGGAATTTTCCAATGTTTCCATAGCTTTTTTAGTAATTTTTTCTACACCTTCCTGGGAGTCGGAATAAATAAGAATATCGTCCATTTAAGTAGCAGTGAGTGTTTGGAATGTGTTTCAACAAGGAAGTTATTATTTCTTGAAATACCTCTGGTGCTGAATAGGTTCCAAATGGTAGACGAGTGCAACTATAACGCCCCCATGGTGTTGAAAACGTGTAGTTGAGTAGAGCAATCTGTATATCTGATTTGTCGTCTGTAAATTTTTTTATGTCATACCAATACATTATTGTGTTTTTATACCTTGGATACCATCTACATAATTCATTACTTTATGCCCGTGCGGGCATAATGTACACATTATGGCCCGCGCGGGCATAAAGTACACATTATGGCCCGCGCGGGCATAAAGACGCAAAAAACAGTTTTCAATTAACTTATTCTTTATTAACAAAATATAAATTTACGCTTATAAACATATTATTTTTGTCAAAAAATTATGATGTTTGCACACTGATGACAATTTGCGAAGTGACACTTTTTCCTAGGTATTTATTATTCACAACCAACTGGTATGACATAAAAGTTTGTATGCACCACGGGTACTAATAGATAATATACCCTCGGGCGACTTACGAACCCTCGGGCCAGAGGCCCTCGGCTTTGTAAGACTGTCGCCCTCAGGGCATAATCATCTACTTAGTACCCTTGATACATAAATAACTATTAACAGATGTTTCGCAATTTGAACATTTCTTTCCGATTAAAAAATTGCTTCTTGGATGCTATGGACTACTGGAATTGGAATTTTCCAATGTTTTTATTACTTTTTTAGTAAGTTTTTCGACACTTTCCTGAGAGTCGGAATAAATAAGAATATCGTCCATTTAAGTAGCAGTGAGTGTTTGGAATGTGTTTCAACAAGGAACTTATTATTTCTTGAAATACCTCTGGTGCTGAATAGATTCCAAATGGTAGACGAGTGCAACTATAACGCCCCCATGGTGTTGAGAACGTGTAGTTGAGTAGAGCAATCTTGATTTGTCCTCTGTACATTTTTTTAACAGATTTTTCGCAATTTGAACATCTCTTTCCGATTAAAAAATTGCTTCTTGGATGCTATGGACTACTGAAATTGGAATTTTCCAATGTTTCCATTACTTTTTTAGTAATTCTTTTTACACCTTCCTGGGAGTCGGAATAAAAAAGAATATCGTCCATTTAAGTAGCAGTGAGTGTTTGGAATGTGTTTCAACAAGGAACTTATTATTTCTTGAAATACCTCTGGTGCTGAACAGGTTCCAAATGGTGGACGAGTGCAACTATAACGCTCCCATGGTGTTGAAAACGTGAGATATTTTTTAGTCTGCTCTGCAACTTTTATTTGCCAAAACTCTCGTTTGCAATCTAAAAGTGTAAAATATTTGGCTCCACGTATTTGTGCTGAAATTTATTCCATGGTTTTAAGCGGATAATGTTTTTGTTAACATATGTAGGATCTATGCAGATTCCTAATTTACCTTTTTGCCTAACAGTTACTAACGGACTGACTGCAGGAGTAGGTTCTGTGACGGGCTTAATGACTCCACAGTTTATATGACATAACATAGTCCATAACACCATTAGTTGTGTTATAGACATAACCGAGCTTATAACCTAGTTCATAACACCACTAGTTGTGTTATGATTCTCATGACATAACTCAAATACTAGAGAAATGGTTATGTAAAAACGTCATAACCAAACGCTTGCAGATAAACTTCATTACATTACTAGTAAACAATGAACTCATTGTGTATTTTTTATCAAATTTGAGTATTTCGTCTCTTCTGGACACTTGTTTATCTGTTAGTTGTAGAATTTTAAAAAAAAAACCTACCATAGCTTTTTATGATACCTAAAGCTCTATCAAAAATCTTATGAATTTGAAAAATAACTTTAAAATGTCAATAGAAATAAATTAAGCTCCATAAAAAACCCATTTTATAAAAGAAATTTTTGACAAAGACTTATTTTTAAATAAACGTATCTAAATTAAGTCCAACTTAGATAAAATATTGACAGTTTTCCAGCTCAGCAACGAACTAAGCTAAGTTTCTTTTTGCAAACAGCAATCAACTGAGCAACCATTATTCTTATTAAAACCTGTAATTAATTGAACAGTAAACCAACCCCATAGGACACCACACATATGGCAGCAGAATGTGGATTTTTTTTTTTTTTTTTAATGTGCCTAAAACGACACAAACATTTTTCCAACTTGTGCAGTACTTTTGCGCCATCTGTGATAAAAAAAAAATGGTAAAATCTACCAACAAACGAAATTCAAATTGATGACTTACTAATGCAAAGTCGGTACTGTGCATGCGGTTTTAAGGGTAAACTTGAGTGAGCCGCTCAAGGATTATATTTAATTTAATCAAAATCCCACCCAAAACTTGTTAACCAGATCAAATTATGTAATTGTTTTAAATTTTTTTGGGAGTTGGTATTAGGTTTAAGCGTAAAGTCAAACCTTGAACAATACATTATGTATTTCTATTTTTCGTGTTAATCAAATATTGATAATTCATTGTCAAGGATTTTAAATTTAAAGGTTTGACCAATAGTTTAATTTTTGATGACCCTGGCTCCAAATCTAAACTTCAATCACAAAAAAGTGTCCATGGATGCAAATATCAAAAACATTCCCCTAAAATAGTTTTCATTTGGAATGAGCGTATCAGGGAAGATGAATCTAAACGATAAAGTCCGACCAAAAAAAAAATTTACAAAGCGTTTAGCATTTTACTTAAATTTCACTGCCATCTCATAGTAGTTAGGCCATTAAGACTTAAAAATAATTTTTTTTTATAGTCTTAAAATGATAATGCTCAGCTCGGTAGCTCTTATATTTTAATTGTTATAATACAACGTCCTTAGGTGGAGTTTTCATTGTTTTCCACCTGTATTCGTACATAAAAAGTTGTGGTTGTGATCTCATCATTATATCATAATGTACAAAAGAAAGCTACTAGAAAGCATTATTCATGTTTTCTTTAATCAACCAAAGCTGTAAAAGTTTCCTTATTTTTGGAACAATAGATACCTCAGGGACGTTGAGAAATAAAAACAAAGTTGATAGTGAGCAAGTAGCATTATACCCGTATATAAATTGGAAATTGAATTGAATCGTTAGAAAGCCAATATGTTTTAGATTTATTTTAGTTAGTGCAAAAGCCACTTTTCAGTGTTATTTTCAAATAATACATTCAGTGATTTTAAAGACTGCACTGGAAAGTGACTTAATTTACAGTTATTATCTCAGATTTAACCAGAGCAAAAAAAAAAAATTAATTATGTTTTAAACTTTATTATTATAGGAATTATCACTTTATTTTTCAAATATGTGGCTACTTATTTTGGGGATGCGTCTTGTGTAGAAGGGCATCTATTTATCTCTGTAACATTATTTTTTTGTTTGCATTTTTTGTTTTTACTAATAAAATTGTATGCAACTGAGAACTGAGTGGATTTTATTTGGATTAAGTTGTTGGGAATAGTTTTGATGTTGCAACTGTAATTTTTACAATAATAAACATCCCCTCTTTGTTTTACTGCTTGAAAATAACAAAGACAATGAGAAGTTCTCACAAATGGAATTTATTGGGATGGATACAATAGGTCTGTTGCTGCAGAAATCACAACCAGTCAGAGTGAATTTCATTAGTTCAAACTTGTTTTCTGACTGTTTTCAACTAATGGAATTCACTATGACTGGTTTGTGATTTCTGCAGAAACAGACCTAAAGCCTAGTACTCATAACTGCGAAATTTGCGTGAATCAAACGTCAAATTGTCGAAGCAATGTCAAAAAAATGAATTTCGCAGTTATGAGTACTAGGCATAAAGCCTAGTACTCATAACTGCGAAATTCGCATTTTTTGACATTGCTTCGACAATTTGACGTTTGATACATGCATAAAACGTCAAATTGTCAACGCAATGTCAAAAAAATGCGAATTTCGCAGTTATGAGTACTAGGCTTAATAGTGTGTTTTTTCTACCGAAAATCTTACTTAATCTCATCTCACTTCAATTATAGCGAATTCTATTGATAGAACCAGTGCATAAAAAAATTATTTTTATCTCTTTCTTATACAAGTTGGTACAAAAAGACACAAAAACACTCAGTGCGCACTAAACCTTCTAAGGCCCAATTGTACAATCTTGGTTCAAAACAGAGTTCAGCTGAACTCGACTGGTACTTGAACTTTTATTCCCATTTGAAATGAATTGCTGTCAAAATTGATGGAATTTGATTAATAGCTGACAGCAATGTATTTTAAATGGGAAAGCTCAAGTACCAGTCGAGTTCAGCTGAACTTTGTTTTAAACCGAGATTGTACAACTGGGCTTAATAGAATTCGCTTTTACTTAACAGAGATGTGTGGTTTTTTCTACAAATCTCATTGTGAGATTGTCGACATCTATCTCACCTCAGCCCTCTAGAGCAAAAACTTTCATGAAATCTCCGGTCTTTTCAACATATGATTTACTCTGATAATCTCATCTCACTTCATATTAAAATGAGATGAGAAAAACCGTAGAAAGAATACGCCTAATAGAAAATTCCAAGTATTCAAGGCCGTCACACAGGTTTGCATAAAGCATAAGCATAAGCATGAGCTCCAACTAATCACAGGTTGTATTAAAGGTCCTTTGACTGTCAAATGAAAATCAAGTGACCTTTGGTACATCTTATAATTGGTTGGAGCTCATACGTATGCGTCATACAAAACCGTGTGTGACGGCCTTTACCTATATTTATGACATTTCTGTCATTTGTTTGTCTTTTGCCAGCGTGACACATTTTGTGATGAGAAAGAGTCAAAAAAACAATCATTTGTAGGACAAAATCGCACAGAAATCACAAACCAGTCAGAATGAATTTCATTGGTTGAAACTAGTTTTCTGACTGTTCCTGACTGTTTTTAACCAATGAAATTCGCTCTGAGTGGTTTGTGATTGGTGTGCGAACAGACCTAATAGCATTTCAAATATTTATATTTTGTAGTTTATTATCAATAAATATGACATTTGTCTTTTGCCAACTTGACACATTTTGACATTTTGTGATGAGAAAAAGATAAAAAAAACAATCATGTCAAGGACAAAATGAGAAAGATATTTCAAATTTTGACTATTACAAGCTCTTGATTGGCTAATCAAAAACAACGTTGCCATATTGTGCAGCTTCTAACAGCAATAACATTTCAAATATTTATATTCTGTAGTTTTTTATCAATAAATATGACATTTGTCTTCTGCCAACTTGACACATTTTGACATTTTGTGATCAGAAAGAGATAAAAACCCAATCATGTGTAGCACAGAATGGGAGAGATTGTTGAGATGTAATTATTTTGTTATTAAGTTAGAACTTGTGACTATAATCACATCAGTAAGTCAACTTTAGTCTGGCAAGTGGTAACTTGGTAGAGACGAAAGGGGGAAGAAAAGTGGGGCGTAACCTAAAAATATTCACTGATACCGCCTGATGATAGCTTTGGGTTCAGTGGTACCGAAAACACCAAAAAAATTAAAAACCAATAAAATTATTAGAAAAAAAAATCTCTAGTATCGCCAATAACCACGCCACTGCGTGCTGTCGTTCAGGCTCTAACCAATAGAATTATGCCTCTGAATAATCACGCCAATCACGCCTTCCCATATCCATCATTTCACAATGTTGCCGGATTTTTTTCTATTCCAAAATTCTACACCCCATATAGCAAAAAAAAAAATATGTCACCAACTTGTTTATTATATTGTTTCCGTCAGGTTTGGCAAAGCAGCAAATTCTATTGCAGTTCGCCGCTTGGCTAGCCAGACTATAGGTACCTATGTACTTAATTGAAAGTTGAATCCAAAAAATACCGACTTGCGCCTATTAAAGTTTGGGAAATTTCGTACAGTGGTGTGGTGTGGGTGCAGTAAAGTTTGGGTAAGTTGCTACAGTCCGTCGATTTCAATCTGATACTTCAAAGGAATGTGAGCTGGTGGCTCTCTACGTAAGAACGCCAATAGTCACCTGACGTTACACCTGTTTTTGCCATATGCTATGCTTCACCCCTTCGCTCCTCATACGGAAAGTGTCAAATTAAAAACGACGGACAGGACAACATGCATTTTTATCATTTTTGACAGTAAACAAACGGTAGTTTTCAGTACGATTTTTGTAGATTTTTTGAGCTGAGATGATTGTTTGGTTTGTAGAGTTCATGAATGAATGAAAAGATAGGTCTGTTTCTGCAGAAATCACAAACCAGTCAGAGTGAATTTCATTGGTTGAAACTAGTTTTCTGACTGTTTTCAACCAATGAAATTCGCTGTGAATAGTTTGTGATTTCTGCAGAAACAGACCTATTATAAGGTCTGTTTCTGCAGAAATCCCAAACCAGTTAGAGCGAATTTCATTGGTTGAAAACAGTCAGAAAACTAGTTTCAAACAATGAAATTCACTCTGACAGGTTATGAAAATACCACTGCTCGGCACTAGTGGGGAAAAGTAGAATACCTAAAATTTTAAGATATACGTACAGGTACTTATAAGGTATACAGGTATACTACAGGTACAGGTACGGAAAAGTAAGTCAAAATCTGTCAACCAATTAATTTGTGTATTTACTTGCAGTCCAGATGTGTTTTCTCGCGTCTTAAAGTTTTGGAACATTTTTCAAAACTGGTTTAAAGCAGTTTCACAATGACGTCATAACTTCTCGCCGCGAGAAAATGGGTTAAAAACGTGGATTGGATTGTATTTCTACGCGACTTTAAACCAATTTTGTGTGACGTCATGGGTTCATCGTCAGGTATACTATTTCAAACCTATTTTGAAACAGTTTCAAAAAAGTGAACGCGTGAAAACAGCTTTGAAGAATTTTTGGTGATAGTTTCGCGTCTCCAAAAATTTAAAAAAAAAAGACTGTTCCAGGTAATTTTCCAGGTAAATTATCTGCTGCATGCTTGCAAAATGAAGTAGGACAACCGCTAAGTGTCGCCAGAACCGGTCATGCCACTGTATTTGAGAAGTTTTCTGTTAAAAATAGGTTGAATTGTTGAGCTGAAATTTTGCGAAACATGACGAGAAAGACTAGTGCATTTAAGATTTATTGTTTGCGAACGGGCCCTTGACCAGCATAAGCCTCAACGCCTCAATGTGCGTTTTTCAAAAGTAGGGCCCCTCTGGACCGCGGGGCCCGGGGCTTCAGCCCCTTTAGCCCCCCCCCCCCCTTAATCCAGGCATGTCTATTATATGAATTTTATTGTCAAATATTTGTCAAAATATGAATCAAAAAATGCATTGAAATGAATGAAGCTACATCCTCAATCAATCTGTTAGCGAAGTGGCACTTTGGCACGCGTGCTGGTAAACTTATACCCATCCTCAATGCTGTCAATTTTCAGTCTGCTGTGCGTGTAGTACGGTCACATACCGTGCATTCGGTATTTTGATCTGAGTTCTCTGAGAATGAATTTACCGTTCGTTTATTTAAAAAGTGTACTCGGTGCAGGCTCATTCACGTTCGTTTAATAAAATTTCGAGCCCTCTGATACAGCGTTTAACTGCTCTGTGCGCTCGCTGGTCACGTGATTACGGCTCCGCTCTGCTCTTTGAGGAAAATACCGAACGCAAGGATAGCCTAAATTATTTTATTTTCTACTTAACTATTATAGATCCATAATACCTAGGAAACTAAATCGTTAACATACCTATAACAACCTGATCCATAACGCCCGCTTTTGCGGGCGTTATGATCTATAACGCCCGCTTATAATAACCTGAGCTGTTTTTGTTGTTGTTGTTTTATTAATTTGCACTTTACCCTAGCAGCCACTAAATGTCTGACCGAAAATAATTTTCGGTCTGGCCAGGATTCGAACCCGGTCTACCATCAACGTTTCCCATGTAGTCGAGCGCGTTAACCCACAGGACCACCGTTGCCTTGCCTTATGAAATGTTTATAGGTTTATTAATTTATTTCGTTTCTAGGTACAGGTACCATCGTCACCAAAAGTATCTGGGACACAAATAATGCATAATAATCTCCTGGTCGGGGATTCTAAAATCACGATTCGACATACGATTCGACAACGAGACGATTTTTCCGACGATTCTAGGTTAGAAATCTCATTGGAATTATACCTTTCGACACGACAAGGCCGGTATCATTGTCGAGTCGTGTGTCGAATCGTGATTTTAGAATCTCGGCCCTGGACTAATTCTACTGTCATTCATTTCAATGCATTTAATTTAATTGACCTTTTGTTTGGACGCCATATTGCGGTGCGCGAACATAGTTGCCAAAAGAAGAAAACAAAAATTACTAGCGGGCTGTCAACATTACAACACAAGAGCGAGTTCAGGAATGACACACCCAGTGTGAGTGTGACACCGGTGCAACGTCCTAGCTGTTCAAAAATGCTAGACGGTGCTATGGGCCCAATGGCCAATTGTCAATTT